GGTTTAAACTAAAAAATAATAATAAAAAAAAAATAAAGCATTGTAGAATTGGGCTCACTTTTATGATTGACTTAAAACGGTATTTGTTTAGTGTGATTTTAACTTTTTTTTTTTTTTTGAATAAAAATCAATTTTAAAAAATCTCAAAATAATTTTAAATATTTTGAATAGCTTTAAAAATAATTATCATCGCCATCTATTATCAATGTCACCACCATCACCATTAAATAAATAAATAAAAATAAAATACTTTCAAAATACCAAACATATTTTATTTAATAACAAAACAAAAATTAAATTAAAAAAAATCCTAAACAACCCCCTATTAGTGTATTTAAGTGTTTTTATATTTTTATTTAAAAAAATTAAGTAATTTTCTATAACACTTTAGAGCATGGTTTTGAAAATTGGAACATAACATCTGGTTCAACTAATTCAACCATGAGTTGGTCATATGGCTTGTTCGATCTTCATGAAAAACATGCTCAACCAATATCAACCAACCAGAGCAAACCCCTGGCCCAAAACAGTAAAACACAAGGCCACAAAAAAAATAAACCAACAACCACAACAAAACCCCACCAAAAAAAAACCAACAACCACAAAACAACCCCACAAAATAACAGACTAAGACCAAAAAGAACAACCAGCAGCAAAAAAAGAGCCAACTCAAAATTTTTAACTATCTATTTCTTATTTTTCTTCCCTAACACCTTAGAAAAGACAGCTTTATTAATTTTCATCACATTCAAATCAAAATCCTCTAAAAACTCATTAAAACACCACCATATAAATCACCATCACAACACTTACTACCTGAGAATTCTCAATCCAATAAGAGTGATCAACAAAGTCAACATAATGCAAATCCTTATGCAACCCACCATCCAAGTTAATACATGCAACATCCAGCATGGGAGAAATAGGTAAATCAATAATAGGGATGCAATAAAAAACATCCAGGCCTTCAATAGGAAAATCAGAATCAATGATAGGATTAGAAATAGAAGCCACAATATTACTCACAACATCACAATCATCATTTGACAAACTCTTACCAACATAGAAGGAAATTAAATGCTTACCAGAAATATCAGAACTAAGATTAATGTTATCCATGATGAGAATCAGTTTGAATCGCCGGTTCAACTAGCCAACTATTGAACAAGATCCCAATTTTTAAGAACTAATCGATTCAATTCATAAACCATTAAAATAATTTAATTAAATATAAAATATTTGATTAAATATTAAATTAATTTAATTATAATACTATTTATTTAATAATGAGTTGAAATTTTAATAATAGTTATATACCAACTAAGCATCAATAATTCATACCCACATGAATCGTTCACACCTTTTGAGCTCTTAACCCATGAAAACAAAAAAGTGCTCTCAAGTAATATGAAACTAAATAACTAGTTGAATTTTATGCTTTAACAAATATACATTATATATTTTTATACAATTCTTTTTAATTATGAGAATAATATTTATTTCATTTAATTATATATTAATTATTTAATAATTTATCTATTTTATTTTTTATTTTTTTGAATATGCTTTATTTAAAATTATTTTTATCTATTTATTAATTTTAATTAATCTAACATGAATGATTTATAAATGTAAAATTCAAATGCTAATTTAATATATATTTTATGTTTGTAAAATTTATCTAAATAAATAATATAAATTAAAAATAGTTTATAATAATTTATATTAAATTTAAAATAAATTAATAATAATTTATATTAACTTTATAACTTTATATCCACATATGC